AGTAGTGTTAATGAGTGTATATTGAGTTCAGATGGCGAAAACCGTAATCAAATCATATTTTCTAAAAAGAAGGTTTAGTTCTATTGAAAGCGGTGCGTCACGTTAATAAGATTCCAACAAAAAGATAAAGTTTTCATTGATTTGCAATGATGCGTGAGCATTCAATTAAAACAGTATGCAAACCCAGTGAAAAATATTCACGGATTTTAACCGGAGTTTTCTGCAACAAAATCAAAATTATTAATCCATTTATAATCTTGACTTTGTTGCGGAATAATCTAATTTTAATAAGAAAATTTCACACTGGATAAGTGACAATATCAAGTAATAGTTAAGTCATGATTAACGATAATCAAAATTATCAATCGATTTTAATTTTGATTTTGTTGCACAAAATTTCGATTAAAATCAGTGAATATTTTTCACTGGGAAGTTTAGGAAAATATTTCTAAGGAAGGAAGTGTAGAAAATAAACGGTACTAATGTCATTTTCTGTTAATAATCAATTGAGAAAGTCAATTTAGTTTGGATATTTTTTCTGTTTTCTTGTTTTATGCTTCTATTGATGCTATTTGGATTTTTTGATTGACTATTTTCGTTTACTTGGCGTTCCACTTATCAAATATAAATGCTATATCGGAAAAAAGTATGAAGGTTTTGGCGTCTCCGTAATTTAATTGGGTCGAGTTTCAGAGTTTGATTCAGGGCTCCAGTATGTATGGAAAAAAAAGTAATATTAATCAATGTGTATACTCTTGTTGTTCTTTTCTGTATGCTTTTCATTATGCATTTATTAATTTCTTGATCCTCGAAGCAAAATGAATTGTAGCTACATCCATACTTATAAGCAAATTAATGAGTATTTACATAGTAGTAACAGAATCTAAAGAAATATAATTCCCCACATTATATGTCGAGTTATTCATGCAATTAGTTGTTCGTATCACGGAATAAGGATGAGACGAATATTATTGCTTCTCTGTTTTGTTGATCTCACCGTTTTCATACATGCAAAACGTACATATGTGATGAAAAAAGATTTTTTTATGGGAATAAAAAGTCCTGAATTTTCGATCTACAATCAAGAAATGAATGTGCTTTTATATCGAATCGAATCCTACTTTGCGTTTACAACCAACCTCGCTGATCTTATTGCCTACCCATCAAAGAAAGTCGTTGGTAAGATGGAAATGAAAAATAAATTCAGACGAAAGGAAGCAACATTCAAAGTATTTGACAATCAAACTCAGCAGTGGAAGGTGGGCAAACTTACTCAACGTTTTAGAACTTTCGTGGTAGATATAATAGATTTCGAATGGAATGGACGACCATTAAAAGCCGTCGCCGATAGGCAATACCGAGCAGTAAGCATTCGAAATGATAATATCATTTTGGCTGAATTTAAAAGACAACCTCCGTACATTCAACTTGTTCAGAATTATGAAGTGCATATATACCCCAATGAAATTCCAGATTCCGTTTATCTACTTTTTGTCGCTAGCCTCCTCATTTAATCTGCGTATCTTAATCAAAAGGCTAATAAAACTGAAATGAATATTGTCAATTTATTCTGATTTATTATCATAAAATAGATGGTTGAATATCTATGTCCATTGTAGAGGGTGGTTGGAGTTCTTTTGCTTGCTGCATCTGCACATAATCACTCTGATTCTATGATTACTAAACTGGCATGAAGTGATAAATCATAACAGTATCACAGATAACAATCTCTGTGTCAAACAATATTGAATTCATTGCCATGCAAGTTTGCCAGGGAATCCTACTGTCCTATGTTCTAGCTTGGTCTAAATAACATTGTGAAAATAAGTTCTTCTACTATCTATAGAGTGTGGGTGTCGCGTGCGAATATGAATAGAATACACCGACAACCACGCCCGCATGCTGTCCTCTTGTGTACATTGAAGATGAAAAGTATGCGCCATCGATCTACCGAATATGATTGAAAGCTGAGTAAAAGATAGACAACTATCTGTAGAAATCAGCGAAAAACCATCGGTAGTGTTTTTAATACAAATATAGAATTTTAACAGAGTAGTAATCTCATGAGACAAACTTTCGAAGAGTAACGTGTGGTTTTGAATTGGATGTATAACAGTTTGTACAGCTGGATGATATTAGACAAATCTTGCAATGAATCGTTCTTATGAGCTGCCTCTCTCAAATTATAACCGTTTTACTGCACTTTCGATCTCTAGAAAGATATATAAACGAAAAATCAACTTATATGATTATGACCTGAGATTTTACTCATAAATAAATCTTATGGTCTTTAAAATATTTTTCAAATTTCAGTCCAAAATAATGCTTTCTTTTTGAGATATTCGGCATTCAGAAAGCGAGTATGTATGGCGAGTGAAGAACAGATTAGCGAGTTACTTCCACATTGAATATCTTAAAACACGAACATTCTTTTGAATTGAAATTTCTATGACATTCTAAAATTATGGAAAATCCAGTAATATGGTAACAATTCGAGAAGGGCCTTTTAGGACAACGAATCCTTCTAGGATTCGCCTAATCTAATGGAACTGTACAAGCTGGTATATATTCCATTCGAAACGGCGTGTAGCACTTGGAGATCCTCCCTCGTCAGCCACTTCACACTCGTTTATCATGCTCTACTTCGATCTAAGAAATTGTATGTGAGCTCATTCAGATCATCTCTTTCCTCATGATTTTAATGCTCTTATTAGGCTGTCCATCCTGAAGAATTTAGTTCCGATGATCGATGTGGGTGCGGGTGTGACTGTGGGACTGTCTGTGCCTGCACCTGTGGTGGGTGGGTGTGAAGGTGATGTTCAATGCTCTACACCCACACCCTCTTTATTAGCTGGAAGAACATACATGATTTGTGCGATATGGTTGGGATTCATCAGATAAATATGGCTCTGCATCCTACGCTCTACACGTTGCCATATGCTTTTGATTAATATCATAATATAGATATTTTTTCTTACCTTCATTTTGCTCTAGTGAAACTGAATATGGGTCGATGAACCATATAACATTGTTGAGCACGAGACTAAATCCTAAGAAGTTAACTGTTGTTCCTTCAAATAAACTTGTAGATCAATTTATCAATTGCAATCATTTTTCTTATTTGAAAGCATCAGATAAATAATATTGACGATCATATTTCTTTGTATACAATCGTATTTTGGCGTTTTATACTGCTCAGTATTACAATCATATACACAAAAATACAAAATAAAATAGGAACCGAATACGATATTAATATACGGAGACAGCAAACAAGCGTTTACTTGTCCATAAACGATTGCATTTCTGCATATACGGCAGTATGACTAAGTCATGTAACATGTTGTATTACTTCGTTTACGGTAGTCTGCAAGTGCTCTTTTATCTGAGACTTTTCATATCTATGGATTTCGATAGCTTAGATGAAAGCTACAAGTAGATCAGGTTACCATAAATTTCGAGTGATTTCAATATAACGATACACTCTTCCATGGAATGATCGGGATTCCGATGGGCTTCGAGTGCTCAAGAATTGATCGCCTAGTCTAGAGTAAAGATTCGATAGGATTATAATTTCCGACTATATGGTGAATCTGATTTAAAATTTAAATTGAGATGAAATGGTTCTTAGATCTGTACAAGCGTCCAACAGGACAATGGAGCCTAAGAAGTCGCTCACGGATCTAAGGCTGCCCACTGATCAGCATTTCGAGACATGCTTATGCAACGACATGCCCAATGTATCCTTTCACCAGCTAATAATTAATAATCAATAGTTAATAGATACAGTCCGGCGCATAATTATAGGACAACTAATTTTATCAATAAGATAAATAAATTGAACTTTATTTTTAACCGTTTAATAAAAATAAATGATAAGAATGTAGATATAAATATTCAAGCATACATTCTTTGACTTTCATATATACATATATAGAATTATCTTAATTTTTATGGTGCGTAATTATAGGACCATTTGACATATTTGTAATAATAACTTAATCCTGAGTAAATTTTTCTAAAGAGAACAAACTAAATCTAAGTTTATATTTAAATTAGGGTGTGGATGTGGGTCTGAATGCCTGATATCAATACGCCCACACCCACATTTCAACTCGTTTTGAACAATTGTAATTTCATGAAACGAGAGGCATCGCATTATTTTGAATAATCTGCGATTCGAAAGCTTTTGCAATGGCATTGGACGACATTAGCTTACTGGCTCCTGTCTATTGACTACATATTATGTAGAAAAAGAGAAAGATATATTCTATAATATCGAAAAATAAACATGAAAAAAATACAAGTGTTTTTCAAAATTCATAGTTGAGGATGGTGTCTGTTTATAAATATATTACTCTTCTCTATCATTCAGGAAACTGATATATCTTATATACCCTTCATTCATCTATAAATGAAATATGATAAAATTCGACTAATTTATCGTTATAAAAAATATGCTATCAAAAATCATTTCATTTGAAAAGTTTCGGCAAAGAAAAGTACGACAAAAGCGAAAAACTTAGTAGCGCGAATATCCGGAAGTCAAGACAAATTTGATCTCTGCTTTCTCTTTCTGTCAAACGTTCGTTTTCAATGCTTCCGAAAACAAATAGATAAGTGATTCTATAACTTATTCCTGATCTTGAATAATGATTTCTGAAAAAAAGCACTAGAAAGAAATGGTTGAATATTTTTTTTTGATTAATTTTAAAAATAATTAGTTCCCTTTTCATTATGTCGACATTTTTTCATTATAACATATTTCACTTTGATCATTAGCGGAAGGAAAAACGTTTTATTGTATATACAAGGAGAACAGTTTGGTAGCGTATTCATTTGTATAGAAAGAAAATATTGTTTTTTTTTGCGTTCTTTTTTTTTCTTGCTATTACTACATTAGATGAGAAAAAGGAAGAGATGTACAGAAAAAACTAAAGACGTCATGCATTAATATGTTTTTCTCTTTTATCATTATACATCTTTTAAGATAAATCTTCATGGCTGGCGTTGCAGAAATTTTCAATGGACATATTCTTGATAAATCAAATCAAGAAGTTCATCTAAAGGATGAAAAATATAAAGGAAAAATAATTGGACTTTATTTTAGTGCACATTGGTAGGTTTAAACTTGTTGCATTTTTTTTCTAATCTAAATAATTCTGTTTTTTTTTCTTAGGTGTCCGCCATGCTGTGGCTTTACTCCAGTTTTAATTAACTTTTATAAACAACATAGTGAAGATAAAAATTTTGAAATTATTTTTATAAGTGCAGACAGTGATGAAGAATCATTTCATGATTATTATAAAGATATGCCTTGGTTGACATTAGATTATAAGGAACGAAATAAAGAACAAGAATTATCAAATACATTTAAGGTTTCTGGAATACCAAGATTAATTCTATTGGATGGCGATTCAGGGAATATTATTTGTAATGATGCAAGAGAACAAATTCAACATAAGGATAAGGAAGGAACAAAGTTTCCTTGGAAAAATGGAACAGAAAAAAAATTATTTCGATCTTGTTTTTGTTTAAAATAATATATTCTTCTTTCGAAATATATTTACATGACGAGTAATTAACTATGAAGCTTTCTTCTCAAATATATATGTAATTGTATTTTCGAAGACTTTAAATAGATTGATTTAAAATAGAATATAAATATCTTGCAAGGCTCATTATACCATGATGTAGATCACAACTCGTTTTATATTTCTTTTTTTTTGTTTTTATTGAAAAAACTATTTAAAAGGCAAGAGAACAGAATCTCAACACTGAAGCACTTTAAAACATATGTTGAATCTAAGAAATTTTGGTTTTCTTCGAATATAATTGTTATCTGTTTGAAGAAGGTCAGAAGAAAACGAAAAGAAATTGTAACTTTCATGGAACCTGAAATGACTACATCATAAACAGGGTTGAGTGTACTAATGATAATTTGCAATTATACCAACTATCTGTTACCATATTCTAAAAAATGGCCCATGAAAAAACTAGAAATTATCAGATATCGAAAATCATGGAAACAAAGAAATTTTCATTTTAAACCGATCGAAAATTGGACTCTTATATAACGTAGAAAAATTCAGCGTGTTACAACCTAAATATTTACTTCTGGGTGTGAGTGTGAGTTGGTGTAGGTGTGACCCATATCCACACCCACACCCTCATTTTCAAATGACTTAGTTAAGTTTTTATGACTCTCTTTTATATTTCATGGGATAAGAAAAGCATTTCATGAATATATTGTCTAGAAACTGGCAAATTATTGAAGAATGATTTTTCATTCATTCTACGAATTAGTTATCTCTTATCACTTACAAAATTAATTATGAGTAGAAATTAAAATTTTGCATTGAATTTATCTGCAAGATTCGTATTCAATTAAAAATAAAAACATTTGAATTTTATTTTATTTTTTTTCCATTCTTCAATCTTATGTATGAACATGTTTTCTTTTCACATTGAATATATATTGTCTTTTTTAACTTCAATCATAGATCGTTCTCTTGTATTTAATTATTTAATTGCTAGTGAGATGCTGCATATTCTCCTTCTTAAAAAATAGATATGTGAAAAATTAGTATTTCTGACGACATTTGCAAGAATTTTATTATTCATGATTGAAGGAAGTATTATAATTTGCGTAGTTATTCTAAACAGTATTCGTAAGTAGTAGAAGTGAAAGCTCACATCTACACCTTGATAGATCAGAGTTTTTTCATTATGATAAAAACTAGAAGAGTAGAATAAAAGAAGTGTTAAACCTATGAGAAACGAAATATAAAAGCAATTCTTCAGATATTCTCTGTTACTTGAAAAATTTCTTCATTTTATCGAATTATTTTTCAGTTGTTTGTTACACTAAACTAATTTATCATTATAATTCTCATATGCTATAATATAAAAAAAAATGTATTGGAAAATTCTAATAGATAATAACATTTATCGATTAGTGATTTACATTTTTGAAACATATGAAAATTCTTCACTTTAAATCCTACAAAAAATGCTGATACATATGTTTGAAAATAGTACTAACTAATTAATGTTCTATTGAGAAATTCTAGGAAGAATTAACTCATTTTAGGAATAAATCTTTTAAATAATTAAAATTATTTCACATGTTATGATATTTGTTTTAGATATTTCTTTCAATAAATGAAATATATTTTTTTGATCAGATTATTAAAAAAAACAAATTATTTTCTTCATCTTTTTACGAAAAAATTGTTTGACACATGCATTCATTTAATAGTTTGTTCTTTATACAACAGAATTTTGTTATTCAATGAGATATTTTTAGGCAGCCATATTCAAAAATGAACGTATCATTTTTTTTAACAATATACTATTATTGTCTTCTATATAGACAGAAAACTGAATGCTCTGAAAACTATAATTTTGGTTTCTAAAAATATATTCTCTTATGAAAAAATTTAAAAGTTTAAAACGTAGTCAATCTTTAAACTTCACTTTTATGTTTTTCTCAGATATTATCGATTGATTAAAGCCTTTTCTCGATAAAATTCGACATGAATTAATGTAAATTTTTACATTACAATTTACGAGAAAAAGTGTTCGAGCTAGCAGGTGATAATGTTCATGTGAAATCAATTTGTCTAAAACTCGAATTTGATTGTGCAAAATATATTTTGGACATTTTTATAAATAGAATTGAAATCGGAAAGATATTGATGCAAATATTCTGTCAGAAAAGTGATTTTGTTCGATATTCTCACATTTTTTAAATCACAAAAAAGTTTTCTCGTTTATTCGTCTTTCGAAATATTTATATTTAGATAACAAGATGTAGAAGTTCATAATGAATCTTATACTATGTTTATAATTTCAAGAAAATTGTTCCAAAAAATACATCGTCGTCTTTTGAGTCTTAATATGCTATGATTTGTAAATCAGGCATTGTCAAGCTTTTAAATTTTTCAATGAGACTGTACAGGATGAGCTATAACTAGCACCACGATAGGATGTGGATCTTCTCGTAATCCACACATACCCTTTCTTCAGTTGAATCTTTAAAAGAAAAAGAAACACATAGTAAATTTTTTCGATTATAAAAATTCTTGATTTTTTTAAATCGAATAAATATGAATGTAAAGAATATGTTTTACATGTTTGTAGTAAATGGTTTATTTCTTTTTCGAAACAGTTTATATTTTTGACAGTAAATCATTTTATCAAAAAGAAATATGATATATTTCTTTTCAAACACAAAACTCATGTAATAATCAGTTTTATGATCGTCATGAATTTCGATCAATAAACATTGAATCAAAGAAAATCATCCTTTCTTTCACTAGTTTAATACTAAATAGAAATGTTTTTGTTTTTATTTAAAGACATTTATTCTTAAGAAGACCCAATAATTGTTACTTTTTTTACTTGTAAGCCGAGTGCTATTGAAATCGTATATTTGTAAGTGTTCAGTGACTAAAATTGTGCCTATAACTATCAGAAAGGAAAAGATGAGATGAAATTAATAAAATATTAAAAGAGTATGCTTTTTTTTAACCGAAACAATCTATGATTTGACATACGATTTTATGTTGGTGAACTACCTAAGATTTTATACTGCTCAAAGAGTCATCTTTAATAACTAAGATCGACTCTTACAGTATAGACAAATATGATGACAACTAAACCTATTGTCAGAAATTACATAGCAAGAATTCTGTTCCTCGTTCCATCTTTGCAAACAGAAATGGAATTGACAGGTTTTTCAATGGAAATTGCTGATATAAATGTAGCGACTATTTAATTGTTTTAAAAATCTGATACAACAATAAATATAAAAACCATATCGATATACTTTTATGAACCAGTTTTGGTAGTTCATTTTCTATGCGAATATCTTTAACATGATAGAATTCATGATGGTAATTTAGGTCTATAAAGATTCTTAGAAAATTGATTTTTGACTGAAAAAAATCCTGATTTTTCTAGAAACTCTTATTTTAGATTCGAAAAAAAGTACATTATCAATTATGAAAATAATAAAAATTGTTTTCTGGCAAACTTGAGAGAGCACTTTGAAAAATTTTCAATATTTTAGTTTTCATAGATAATGAATCATAGTGTAAAATTTGAACTCTACTTTATGTTTTCTGATACTTTTCTAGAAAGATTTATGAATGGTAGATATTAGAACTAAATAAAATTCATTACAGAATATTGTGAATATTGAATCCTTCACACATTCTTATAGTATCAGACATAATCACATTTTCCTTTTGACATAATGAAAGTCACAACAATAAAATTTCTTTATTGCTGTTCATATTCTTTACATTCGTCGGTTATCATTTTCAGATAGCGCATTAATGTCAGTCTATCTTGCTAAGAGTTGAGGGTGTGGGTGTGAGTAAAGCAAAGATCTCAACCTACCCCCACCCCCACACCCTTACTCCATGTAGGGTAAATTCGTAAAATTTTTTCTTAAAAGTTCTCTGAAAAGAATTTTGTTGAGAATTAGAATTTTTCATACAAATATTTCAAAATACACTGGTGTTATAGAGGAACTTTTGACGGATCTACTCATGAAAAAATTTTCATAGAGAAATAAATAGAACGCTTATAAATATGGTTTTTTTCAATCAAGCTAACAACAACTGAGATTACGGATTTACCCCAAGTGTGGAAAATCCGTAATGCTAATGCAGGTCTCAGAAAAACTATCGCCACTACGTTACACGACGCGATTTCAGAAAACTTATTTCACAGATCGATAGAGAAAAGATTTCTCTATATTGTTTTGTGAATAAAGTTTTTCAAAATATTGAAAAATAAAAAAGTTACTTCGGTCTTATCAAGAATTATCTTTTTTATTACGGATTTATCCCACCTTACTCTATACAACAAAACAGTACTTCTCTCGATATCGTGCAGAAGCATCAAGATACTAATTATGATAACCTGTGTTATATGATGAACGTAGAGTGACATCAATTAACTTCAAAGAGCTGAAGAAAACAATGGTATCTTCAATACTACGTGTATAGTCGTTCCATTCTCGATTAGTAAAATTGTCAACAGGAGTAAAAGATGCATAACACATGCTAATGTATAATTTGCATTAGTATCTTGAGGTATACTTTTATAAGCAAAGAAGCAATTTCATCTGCCAAGTAATTTAGCACTTCACAAGTCTTTACCTATTGGATTTTATTGAACTGAACTCCAAAGAACAAAAGAAGGGTGTGGGTGTGTGAATATGAGTGTTAGTGGGAAGAGAATTCACACCCACATCCTAGAATAATGTCTCGTTTAATGAAAAACAAAAGCCAATAAATATTAATTCAATTTTTATCTTTTTATTAATATTATTTGATCAGTTATTTATTTTCTTATACATTATTATCGTTTATAGAATTATTAGAATGGAATTTTCAGATCGATTATTTTATATAATATATATTGATTACTTTTTAATATGTCTTAACCCTTCGTTGTTGTTGAATTCAACTGGATCAATTTCACAATTTTTTGTGTGATACTAAATTAAGATTTTTTTATTTCGAAC